CAGAGGAGATGAATTTGTTCACAAATGGTGGATGACAACATTGGCTCACCATGTGGGAGAAGGAAAATTAGATCCCTGCAAAGATCACCAGTAGAAAACGAGGCAATAGTGGTGAAACCTAAAGATTTGAAAGTAAGCTCTGAACCTTTCCAATGAAATATGAGTATCTTTGTGGTGCTTTAGGACAAAGGAGATACTTTATTTTTGTTTTTTGTTAGGTTCTCATATACCTGGGGCTGGTCTTGAATCCCCAATCCTCCTGCTTCCACTTTCTTAGTATTAGGGTTACAGGCATATATATATGCCATGCCCAAGCAGAAGGGATTTCTGTCTTTAAAAAAATTATTATTTGTGTATGTGTGTGTATGTGTATGCATGTGTGTGTGTGCATATGTGTATGTGTATATGTGTATGTGCGTGTGTATGTGTATGTGCGTGTATGTGTGTGTATGTGTATATGTGTATGTGCGTGTATGTGTGTGTATGTGTATATGTGTATGTGTATATATGTATGTGTGTGTTCATTTACGTATGTGTATGTGTGTGCATATGTGTATGTGCGTATGTGCATATGTGTATGTGCGTGTGTATGTGTACATGCGTGTATGTGTGTGTATGTGTATATGTGTATATATGTATGTGTGTGTGCATATACATATGTGTATGTGTGTGTATCTGTATAAGTGGCCCAGCACGCATGTGGAGGTCACAAGAGAACTGAGGAGTCATTTCTCTTCTTCCTCCTGTGTGGGCTCTGGAGCTCAGACTCAGGTTGTCAGGATTTCGTGACAAGTACCATTGCCCACTGAGTCATTTCTGCAGTCCAGGAAGGATTTCTCAGATCACAAAAAGCATTACCATATTGGAAAACACTAATAATTTTATTACATTAAGTGGAAAAGTTGACGGCAAAATATAAGGTAAATAGGAAGATTGGAAGCTAGGTCCTTCTCTTCCCTTATATTGATTGCTGTTGAGATGGAAATATTTTGGATATGTTGCGTTAAATAAAGTACACTGTCAGGATAATTGCTTTTGTCAATAGGCCATTAGAACATTTTACACAACTTTCCCTGGTGGCACCTGTTCTTTTTCTCTTGGACAGTGCTGACTTTGAATGCATAAAGAGCTTAGCCTGGTCAATGAGGAAGAGGAGAAGAAGCCAGTAGGAAATGGACAAAGGATATAAATAAACCGTTTGTTAGACTGGAAATGCTGATGGCCGATAGACATTGGAGATATTGAGTCTTAGTTAAAACGGGGGCAGTGCAAACCAGAATCACAAGAACATGGGCGCCAAGACAGAATTTAAACTAGTTGAACATGAATTGATTTTTTTATTCTTTGAGAACTTCAGACGTGTTTACAATGTGTATTATCATATCTCTCCCTGCAATTCCACCTTTCTTACTCTGCACACCCGTGTCCTTTTCGTTTGTGTAATGCACTGAGCTGCCTCGTGCGTGGACATAGGGCCATCTACTGGGGCACAGGCAGCCCACTAAGGCTTCCCTTAAGAAAACTGGCTCTTCCTCCCCAGAAGTCTTCAGTTATCAGTAGCTCCTCAGATAGAGGTAGGGCTTCGAGAGCGGCTCCCCGTTCCTTCTGGAGTGTGAACTAGAGTTTTAAACGTGGAGATGCTGGTCTTTTGGACCAGGGCCCAAGAAGACAGGCGATGAAGGTCTTCTTTTTGCGTAGTCACCAAGGCCCTGGGGTAGAAGCCGAGCGTCACTGCTTCCTGTCTCCTGCTGTTTCATCCTGAACCCCGTGTTTAGTCATCTCTTTCTTCTCTGGCGGTCTTCATTTCTGAAGGCTGTTGTCATCCAAGCCCGTTTCCTGTTCTGAGAACTCTCCCTCAGGTGGTGGGTGGAACAGACCCCGCAGTGTTTGCACCGCAGGGACAGCAGTCCCCCAAAAAGGTTGGTCAAAACTCAGGGACCCCCAGAGACACGTAACCACCTATGGAACTGGATGGAGCATTTGCAGGAGGAGGGTCCTGTTGGGGCGGCAGCTGCAGCTGCTGGCCAGGACTTTTATCAAGGACGCCTGGGCTGTGTGCACAAAGCTGTTAGTCTCTGTTCCGTTAATCCAGGCATGCTGCATGAATGACTCCCAGGAGCAGCAGGACCCAGCGCAGCGAGCCTTCAGCCCACGGCCCTCTATACACTCCTAAGGGAGAAACAGAGGGGCTTTTCAGTAACTGCGAGTTTAATCCTCTAGATCTACGAGTTGTTTTCAGGGGTGCTTTTGCCGATGCAAAAAGGCCAGAAGCGTATGGCAAAGAATCTTCTTTTACTTTGAAGAAACACACACATGCACGCACGCACGCACGCACACTTAGTACATAAAGAGGAAGTTACAGTGTGTTCAGTACATCGTATTTCTAAGTCAGGAAACTGTCAAATACTAGAGCAGTGCTTCTACCCAGAGATGTTTGGGGTGAGTTCGGGTCAGGTGCTCCCAGGTGGTGCGGAGAACATCCTGGCTCATTCGTGCAAGTGTGAGCTAACAGTTGAGGAAGGAGAATGGAGAAGTTGGTACAGTGACCGGGCTGGCAGGAAAACTGCCATCTCCCACAGCTTGCTCATCTAGGCCTCCTGCAGCGCTCTGTGCTTTCTCTTTAAAAGTAAAGAACTGAAAAAAAATTAATTTATGTATGGACGACCTATTTCAAAAACCATATCAGCCAGAGAGTTATCAGGCAAGTTCTATGGAGTTGATTATCTTGTCCTATGGATATCAATAACTCCAATATTCCTTAGAGCTTGAAACGGTCTAGTATTCTTTTGACAGGGCAATTTATTATGATAATGGGAAAGATACCTTAAGAAAAATCATTCTTTTTCTGTAGTTTTGAATCAGTTTGGCCCTGGGGCTCAAGTTGGATTTGTGTTTGAGATCTTGCTGCTTCTGCCCCCTGAATGCTGAGATGCAGCAATATGCCACCATGTCCAACTCATAAGTGACATTTTGATTGACAATCTGGTTGTCACAGTGCCAGGCCACCGTGGGATTGCTCTGAACTTCAGCTTGACAACCTCCATGCAGCGGAACATGCATTGGCTGGGCTGAAAGAGCTATAATCATCAACTCTGGCTCCTGAGAGCCCATATTAGGAGACTAGTAATCTGGGTGTCAGAGACGGTAACCCCATGTCTTGGCTATTAGACGTGTGTTGGTCAGCTGAGGTTGCTGTAACAAAACACTGTGGACTGAGACTTATGAACAATGGAAGTTTCTTTCCTTTGCAGTTTTGTTGGCTGTGGAGGCCAGAGGTCAGGGTTTTGGGGGGCTCTGTTCTGGTGTGGGCCTCTTCTGGCCTCAGATGACTACCTTGTTTATATGTCCTTGAATGCTGGGAAGGGATCCAGAGAGTTGTCTGAGGTCCCTATTCTGTGGGCACTAATCCCATTCATAGTGCCATCCTCATGATAGGTCTGCCTTCTAATGCCATCCCACGGTGGGCTAGGAGTCCGCAGGTGACTGGAAAGAAGACACAAGCCATCTGTCTATGTGGACAGAGAGGTGTCTCCTTGCATTGGATCTTGGGTTTGTACTTTCTTGAGTTATCTACCCAATACATTTCTCAAAAGAGTGTGTGTGTGTGTGTGTGTGTGTGTGTGTGTGTGTGTGTGTGTATGTAAGATGTCATGCTTGGATATTTCTCTTACATGTTTTCAAAGGGCTGCATGGAATCCCCACTCCCCTAGTCTATGTCTGACTTGATCTACAGATGATGCTAACTAAGCCTTGGTTTTGTAATTCCTCCGACACGTGAGAGAATATTGCTGAGCTACAAAAATGAAGTCCTTGTCTCGGTCACCACGAATAGAACTGCATGACATGGCTTTAAAGAGATTTTTGCCAAGTGCTGACCTTGAGTCCCTGGGGCATGTGCTCAGGAGAGGTCTAACTGAGTCGGTTGGCATCTCTGCCTTCAGATTTTGTGAGGAGCTTTTGCACCAATTTCCACAGTGACTTCAGCAGTTTGCACTCCTCTGACAATGTTGAAGGTTCTCACTGTTATGTATTCTTTTTTTGTTTTTGTTTTTGAGGCATTGTTCTTCTATATAATCCTGATTGTCCTGGGACTAGCTCTTCTTCTCAGATGCTGTGTGCTGTGGTCTGCACAGCTGCCTTTTAAAATACCTGCTCTCCCCAGAGCCTCCTCCTGGCTTGACGGTGGACACCCAGTTGTTTAGGATGAGATTTGGCGTCATCTTGGTTCTGTGTCCTCTCCCACACCCTGAGTCCATCCTAACAGCAAATCTGTCTTCACGATAGAGAATCCATACGTATCTCCAGCTTGGGCCACTGTCACTTGCTCAGCGTCTATAGTACATGCTTCTCTGGTCTCCTGGGGCCAATTTCTGCCCAGCACTCAGAATTTTGTAGAAGATTGACCACCGACTGTCTAAAGCGCTGCAGGGCTCCTGGCCGCCCAGAGGGCTTGGGTACCCCTCCCTCAGTTCACACTGCCCCAGCCTCTGGGCCACCTGGGAATGCTCTGAGGACCTGCCCAGGTCTGGCTTTGCTCCTGCTGGTTTTCTGACGGAGTTGCTTCCTATCCTTGTTCCAGGGGCCTGTGTTCCCTTGCCTCCTTCAAAACTGTTTCTAGACACTCCCTGTGAGTCTGCTGCACCGCTAGATCCTGCCATGCACCCACATTTCATCTTGTTCCACATGGCTGTCTAACACACATGAAGCCAGTAGTGTGTGTGCTTTCTTTCCCATCAGAGGGAAACACTCCTGAGGGCAGAGATCCAGCCCTTCATTGATGTCTCTACACCTTGTGCCTTGTGGTGATGGACTCTGCTCATTTGCGGTTAAGTCAGTGCTTGACCTAAAAGTTGAAAACGCTGAGACCTGGGGACTTGAGGTCTTTACTGCCTCTTCTCCAGCTTCCAGGAGGACAGCTCTTCCCCTCAGGGTCCCCAGAGCTCACTGATGATGATGCCCGGGCTGTGTGCCTCTGACCCATGTCCCTTCTTCCTTTCTAGACTGGCCTTATTGTTGCGTGCTACCACGGCTTCGTGGATACTGTGGTGGCCTTAGCGGAGTGCCCTCACGTCGACGTCAACTGGCAGGACAGCGAAGGGAACACAGCCCTCATCACAGCTGCACAGGCAGGTAAGAGCCGGCCTTCATCTCCCCGGGGGCTGCTGCTGGGCAGCGTGGGCGCCCGTGGCTCCTGAAAGATGGAAACGGATCTGCTGGCAGCAGGCGCCAGGAGGGGGCACCCATTCTCCCCACTCCTGGAATAGCGTGTTTACCCACTCAGGCGGGATTCAGAACGGAGCTTCCCCCGGCCAGCGTCTTCACCACAGAGCTGCCTCCGGAAGGCAGGCTTGCCTGCCACTCAGAGCACTGACACCCTCTCCAAGACAGGGTGGCTTGGCACCCGCGGGCAGGAGTCGCGGTCACGCGCTTTACTGACAGTTATGTAATTGGGTACACTGAGAAGGTGACCTTACGTTTCACCTATAAAGAAACACCAGGGACAGCCCTCCGAGCTTCAGAGAATTCAGGTACCAGAGTGAGATGAGATTAGAGCCGTGTGAATGTGGTTCCAAGTACGTGTCACGGTCGTCTCCGCCATGACCTAATGCACTGCGGCCCCCGTGCGTGGGTTTGCTTGCACGGCATTCAGGAGGCGGGGATGTCGCTCAGTTGGGAGCGTGCTTGCCTAGCAGGCTGAATGCCCTGCGTTGGATCCCTGCGTTGGATCCCCAGCGCTGCCCAAGCCAGAGCTCAGCTGTGCTTATCTGTGATGTCAGCACTCAGGAGGTGGGGCCGTGGGGGCTGAAGCTTAGGATCACAAGGTCATCCTTGACTGTATTTGGAGTAGAGACCAGCTTGGACTATGTGAGGCCCTGTTTCCAAATAGCTAAATAAGAAAATAAACAAATAAAAAATTATAAAAATTATACATACATAGATACATACATATATGTGTATTATATATATTGCATTCAATCACTTTAACATAAATGCTTACACTGTCTCAAACAGTTGTGTAACTGATCTTTCCCTACATTTTTAGCTTCTATAGATCATAGTCAGCCCTTTGTATTTTGAGATTTCCTGTCTGCCGATTTAACATGGATAGACAACACATTGTTTCAACTGGATCCAGAGCAGGAGCTATAGATAGCTCAGTGATAACACGCTTGCTAACCAAGTATGAGGCCCTGGGTTTGGTCCTGAATGAAACAAACAGCGGTAATAACAAAACCTACGCAAATAAAAATAGTATGTCAGCACTAAACACGTACAGACGGCTTTCCTAAAAACAGTGTAAGGCATATTTATGTCACATTTATGCTGCATTCGTTATTGTAGGTAATGTGGGGATGTTTCAAGCACACAAGAGGATTGTGTAGGTTATATGCCAGTACAACGCTCTTTTTAAAAGATGTAAAAATTATTTTACTTTATGTGCATTGTGCCTGCTTGTCTGTGTGCCACAGTCATGCAGTACCACTGGGGGCCAGAAGAGGGCGGTAGATCCCTTGGGACTGGAATCACTGTTGGTCATGAGCCACCAACAAGGCTTTGTCCTCTGGAAGAGCAGTAAGTGCTCAAAACCCGGGAGCCATCTCTCCAGCCTCTACTACATCATTTTCTATAAGACACTTGAGAACCTGAGGGCTTTGGTGTCCGCAAGGGTCCTGGATCCTGTGATCACAGGTAGCAAGAATGACCATCTGTTTCATCAGTCAGGTTCTTAGCGGCAAGTAACACAGCTGCCTGTGGGGAAGCCAGGAAGAAGAGGCCTCTGCGTTCTGAAGGGGTGTGGGGCAGCTTGGGTGATGTCTTAGGGTTACCACTGCTGTGCTGAAACACCATGGCCAAAGCAACTTGGGGAGACAAGGGTTTATTTGACCTATACTTCGAGGTGACTGTTCATCACAGAAGGAAGTCAGGACAGGAACTCAAACAGGGTAGGAACCTGGAGGCAGGAGCTGATGCAGAGGCCATGGAGGGGAGCTTGCTTGCAGCCTGATCCCATGGAGGCCTTATCTCAGTGGAGGCTCCCTCCTCTCAGATGGCTCTAACTTGTGCCAAGTTGGCATAATCCTAGGTGGCAAGGTGGGAACTGGATTCAAGGCTCTGAAGCTGGAAAAAGTGCCCCAAGTGTGGCGATGCTGGCAGAAGCGTCTGCTGCTGCCCTGAAGAGAAGGGACCTCTGCTGCCCCTTCTTGCTCCCTAGACTCCATGTTGAGTCCACTCTGGGTGGAGGACATCAGGTGACACAAGGGAGACCAGAGACACTGGCACTGGGCTATCCCTTCTGTCTCAGCGGCGCTGGGCTATCTCAAGTCTCTTAGTGGGAGGTAGTCTGTGCACTCCATTGGCCAGTCCAGATGCACACGGTGGAGGGCATCCCGACATCACCAGGGCCAGGGACCGTGCCAGACATTCCTTTTCCCTCTCCCAGTTCTAGAGTGGGAACTTCATCTCTGTGGTAGGGTCCCGGGTTTTGCAAGACTGCAGCTCAGCCACCAGCAGCAGGTGTGCGAGAGCGCCCTCTCCTGGTGTAATTTCCGCTGCTGTGATGAAATACCCGACAAAAGACAGCTCAGGAGAGAGATGCTTTGTTTTAGTTCACAGTTCCAGGTTACAGTCCACCTTAGCAAGGAAGGCAAGGCCACAGGAACTGACAACAGTCAATCATAGCCCCAGGCAAGAGCGGGAAGGACAGATGCCTGTCTGCGCATGTGCATGCATGCATGCATGCTGTTCAATTCAGTTTATCTACTTTTCTACAGTCTAGGACCCACAGGCAGGGTTTGGTGTCACCCACAGTGGACTGGGTCTTCCTATATCAATGAACATAATTAATTATGTTAACTAGTCATCCCCACGAGACACGCCCACAGGCTAGCCTGACCCAGACATTCCCCTGAGATTTTCTCCCCAGGGGTTATAGATTGTGTCAAGTTGGCAAATGAAAATAGTCACAGAAGTGATAGAGGTTCAGTAATCACACCCATCGTACAGGATATCCTGTGACCTTGTGTCAGGGATCAGGGACTCAGAAGTGAGAGGCCACCCTGCCTTGAGTCATGCTCCAGCTCACGGGACAGAGAAGTAGACAGAGCCTAGCTCAGTCTGTGTTTCGAGGACGGGGGTGTGTGGAGCTGGCACATTTCATCTGGGGTCAGAGCCAGGGCTCAGAACCCCTGGTTGTAAACCATAGCTAAGATGTTTCAAGCCTGGGGCTGAGATGGAGGTGCAGGAATGTGTCTCGGGAGGGGATCAGGGATGGTGTGGGGAGTGTGGTTTGGAGAGTCAATATCTAGAAGACAGAGTCCTGAGAGGAAGGTAGGGGCTGAGTCACTCAGTGTCCAATGATGCAGTCTGGAGAGTGTGCAGAGAGAGGTGGGAGGGGTGGCGGAAGGGGAACTGTGTGCCCGGAGCAGAGCTGGTAGGTGTCTGGCTTTCAGGTGTCTGTCCAGGCAAGCACTGACTGTGAAAAGTGGAAATGTGAGAAGCAGGAGTCAGAGAAGCATCGGTTCTGTTCGAAACGCTGGGATAATCAACCAGGAGATCCCAGTGGCCGGTGAAGGGCAGGGTACCAGAGACACGCATGGTGTCGGCACCAGAGACACACATGGGGCCAGCACCAGAGACACACATGGGGTTGATGGAGGTTAAGGATAGCGAGGGCCATGGCTTGGGTGAGACCATCAACAGTGGGAGAATGTGAAAAGGAGATCTCTTTTCTGATTGATTTGCATGTTAGTGTTTAATGCCTGGGAGATGCTTTCTGAGTTCTTGCCCTTTGGAAATGCTTCCAGTTTGTGTAAGCATATGAGCAACAACGTGACTGCCCTCTCTCCTGGCTTCCCCCTCCCTTTCTCCTCCCAGCTTTCCTCCCCTTTCTTCCCTCCCAGGAGGTGGGGGGAGTAGTTGGAGTCCCACCTGCTTTTTGTAGTTTGTTAATACTGGAAAATGTCATCCATCCTTCATGCTTGATATGGAAACAAAGATGCAGTTCCCAGCACCCACATGGTATCTTATAGTGGTCCTTAACTACAAATCTAGGAGCTCTGGTGCCCTCTTTTGGCCTCAGCGGGTACTGGGCATGCATGCAGTGCACATATATACAGGCATACATACATACATACATACAGACATACAGACAGACAGACAGACAGACAGACAGACAAAACAGTAATACAGACAGACAGACAAAACAATCATACCCATATAATAAAAAATGATAAATTTTTAAAACAATCCACCAAATGTACTGTGGCACACCTCAGCTCCCCTGTCTGCTCATTTGGCCTCCTCTTGGGTGTGTGTTTACTTCAGCAGACAGTTTCCAGCTGCTTCTGGAATCCCCATCTGCCTGCTTTGTTCTGGCCCTCTGACATTTGCTCTCACCTGTGGAGTGGAATCACCCACCCCATCTTCAACCCAAAAGCCCTCCCTCCGTGCTAGGAAATACCCCCACAGTACCTGCATTGCTTTGTTTACGCTGGTTCCCACAGCTTTGATTAGCGTTCCTGGGCTGGCAGTTAGCTTACTGTAAGAAACCCAGAAGCGTTGGAAGAAAGGTACCAATGACCTGGTGGCCATGGCGATTTTGCCGGTTTGCTTGTGTTTGCTGACTGCACACATCAGTTACTCCTCTCCCTGCTGGGACAAAATGCCAGGCAGAAGAAGCAGCTTCAGGAAGGGGGGATTTATTATGAGCCTGCAGTTTGAAGGTGCAGTCTGTCACGAGGAGTGAGGGGGTGGGGACACAGGGTTGAGAGCAGCTTCAGCTATGGTGGCAGGGACTTGGGTCACTGGTCACATTGCTACCACAGATAGGAAGTACACAGCTGACGGTCAGCCCACTTTTTATTTTTTATTCAGCCAGGGTCTCTACCTAATAGACTGGTGCTATCCACATTCGGGGTGCCCCCCTTACACCTGTTAAAACTCTCTGGGAGCATCCTGACAGCATAGCTGGGGTGTGTCTGCTTAGGTGATTCCAAAATTAGTCAAGTTGACAACAGAGATTAGCTCTCATCCCATCTGAGAGTCAGTTGCCCCTATACACACACACACACACACACACACACACACACATCTCCCAAGACAGATCTAACAGCATATCACTGCTGCACCCA